AGAATAGAAATGGGAGCATATAGCCATGGATTTTGTGGTAGGATTACCCAAAACAAGTGAAGGTTATTATGTAATATGGGTAATTGTTGATAGATTGACTACATCTGCTCATTTTGTACCTATAAAAGTGACGTATACCCTTAAAAAGTTAGCAGAGTTGTGCATCACCAACATAGTAAGACTGCATGGAATACCTTTATCCATTGTCTCAAATCAGGATAGCCGCTTTACCTCAACATTTTGGAAGAGTGTAGAAGAAGCCATAGGCTCAGAATTAAGATTTAGCACAACTTTTCATCCTCAGACTGATGGACAATCAGAACATACCATCCAAACTTTGGAAGATATGCTTAGAGCATGTGTGATGGATTTTAAAGGAACATGGAATAAGAAACTGTCATTGATTGAATTCTTGTATAACAACAAGTTATCAAGCTTCAATCGGTATGCCACCATATGAAGCTTTATACGAAAGAAAATGCAGAAAGAAAGTGCAGATCTCCCATTTATTGGTATGAAACCAGGGAGAAGCAATTACATAAGATAGAATTCATTCAAGAGGTGGTTGAATCTATCCAAAAAATCCATTAAAGGATGAAGATGGCACATGACCGTCAGAAAAGTTATGCTGATAGGCATAGAAGACCCTTGGAGTCTAGTGAAGGGGATTCAGTTTTCTTGAAGATCGCACCCATGAAAGGTGTTATATGTTTTAGCAAGAAAGGCAAATTGAGCCCAAGGTATCTAGGACCTTTGTAAATTCTAAAACGAATAAGGAAAGTAGCCTATCGATTAGCTTTACCGCCGGAACTAGTTACAACACATGATGAATTCCACGTCTCGATGTTAAAAAAGTATATACCCGATCCATCCCATGTTATAGAACATGAACCGATTCAGATTCACGAAGACATGACTTATGAGGAACAACTGGCGCAGATTCTTGCACGAGAAGAGACGCATCTTCGGAATCGATGTATTCCACTTGTAAAAATACTGTGGAGGAATCAAAAAGCGGAAGGAGCAACGTGGGAACATGAAGATGAAATGAGAAAGAGGTACCCCCATTTGTTCTAATTTTTTAGGACGAAAATTTTTAAAGAGGGGTGATTGTCATGACAGGAAAATTTATCAGAATTATTGTATACAATAAAATTTCCTGAAATCCTTTGAATTATCAATATGAATATTTTTATGACAAGTACTTGTTGATAATAGTACTAAATAACAAGTTATAAGTTAAAAATCAAAAATTTCTAAACTACAACATAGTTACGGATTTTCAAACTATGCTTAAGAAAGAACTATCGAACGTTGTGTTAAACCCACAAGTGGATAAACACGTGAATATTAAGGTTAAGAAATGGAAAAGAGTTGAAAGACATCAATTTTAGAGTTTTAGAAACAATCGGAACGAAAAATGGACGAAAAAAGGGGTCGGAATTCTGAATCACGTAAATTGGAGTTTCGACTGATTTAAGTGGACTGAGTCAAAATTTGTTGACCAAGAGTCGACCAAAACAGCGCCCTCAAAAAGTTAGTCAAGAATTGTCAAAGTTGACTAAGTTGACCAACTGTCCGAAAAACGTGGATAAAATGCCCACTGGATAGGAAATTGAGTTAACCAAAATAGGATAATTATTAAATTATCAATGGTTGAGATTAAAAGTAACAAAAGAATGGATGGAGGAGATTTTGACATGTGGAAAGTGACATGGAGAGGTGGCCGGCCAAAGCTTAATGGAGAAGGAAAAAAAAATTGACTTTTCTTGCAAAATGGTCCTTAGAAAAGTGAAAATTTTCATTGTTTGCTCCCTACTTTTGGATGGTCGGTTCATTAAGGGAAAACACTAGAGAAATTGTCATTTTTCATGCACAAGAACAGAGAGTGACCAGCCAAGAGAGAAAGAAAGAAAAAAATTCACCAAAGTGAGAAAAAGTGTGATTTAAGTGGAAATCGACGGAATTACCGAGGAATAGCGTCACTGAAGCTTGTTCTTCATTCCCTAAGGTGAGATTTCAAGTTTTTTCTCTTATTTAATCTTCCTTGGCTGCCGTGGAAGTATAGGAAGAGCATGGAAAAAATTTTACTTAGAAGGGTGATTTGCTTGTAATGGTTAGGGAACTTGAAATCTAGTGAATTAAGGATAAATTCTAGGTTATTGAACTTTTGTTTCTAGCAAATCTTCATATGGAGAAACCCTAGAGTCATCATGATGTTGATGGTGTAATTGAAAGAGAAAGTATGAGAATTGTGTTTGATGGTGGAAACAACGGATAAAACGAGCTAAAGTTAGCTTGGGAAACCTAGAAAAATAGGCGGAACTCTACCAAAATTTAGTTTGAGTATTTTGAACAAAAACCGGTTTTCATGAGGAATAAGGGATTAAGATGTGGAAAGTAAGTCGATTCGATAATCGGTGATGTATAGAAACCGAACACAAAGGGAATTCACAGTTTTGGACTAAAACTGAAAATTAGGCCCATGACTGAGGAAGGTGCACGATTTAGTGCACATTTTTAAGGTAGGAAATATTTCTGGATTGCATACCAAACATAGGGATTGTAGATATTTTTGAATTAAATTTTAATGTAATTATTGATCTTAGATTTTGAATCTAACGATCAGAAATTTATGCAATAGGATCAATTAACGATCAAAGTCAGAAAGCATCAAATGAGACAAAGGACGCAACATTAGTTAAAACTTCAGTAAGTATCGATGTTAAGTCAAGGTCAAATTAAGAGAAAACGTTAAACTTTAATGAAAAGTTAATCTAATGACAAATTGCTCAAAAATGAGCAAAGTCATAAGATTTAACTAAAATTACCGTTTTAATGAGAAAATTGACAACGGTAAGAAAGCAAACATCCTACATGTACCAACCTTCAAAGGAATGGTTATTATGATTATGAAAGAAATGAAACTGTGACTGAGTTGGATTGGTTAGCTACCCCACTCCTCACTGGTTATGCGCGCTATGATACAACCGGATATGGCCCATAAGAAATAAAAGACAAGAAAATGAAAAAATGAAGTCGTTCTATATAAGTGTACGGTATTCGTAAAGAAGAATGAAAAGCAAGAAAAACACAATATGCATGTCATTCAGAAGATGAGAATATAATGTGAACGACTAAAATGAGACGAAAGCTGAACAAAGTATGTGATGAAAGAAGAAGAACATAAGCAATATACGTTTTAGAAGTACAGAGTGTCTTAGGATATGTGACAAGAATGCATATATGGGTATGCATAATTATTGCATTTATTATGACCTATTATTACTTGCTGAGCACAAGCTCATTAATTTTGTTCGTATTGTAGGAAGCTCGGGTAAGGCACCGACTCCCTGAAACTTGTTGCTGGGCATGCAGAGAGGATGTAGCAGTGGAGTTTGGGCAAGTGGATAGTGTATGCATCACGTGTTTTGAAAACGCTGCTGAGCTTTATGTGTATAAAGTAAATAATGTTTTATGAATATAGATGAGTTATGTAACGAAAGTTAAGTTTATGAGATAGTGAGGCTATGCATAGCAACCTCAAGTGACAAGATATGATTAATGTATCTAAATGGTATAGCATTGAAGGAATGCATAGCAAAAAATGCTACAGCATTAAGACGTATGAATCGTAATGATATGCGAATGACAAGTTAAATACATGTCCACGAATAGGGAGGACAAGATCAAAGTTTTAAAAGAAAAATTGAAAATGTTTTCGGGATAGTAACTTTTGATGTTTTTATTTTATAAAAATCACCGAACAAAGATTTATTCCACAAAGAGTATTAGAATCAATTTTACTCCTGTTGAAAAAAAAAATAGCCTGAATTTTTAAGAGATTATAATTAGAAAGTAGTAGAAGATGGGTAATGTTAAGTATGAACGTAGAAATGATGGCCGAAAGTTACGGATCATCATATATAACCTTTAGCAACGACACGTTGTGGTCGATAAAAACTTTTTAGTGACAATTATTTAAAGACGACATGTCGTAACCAAATGAGCTATAGCAATGACCTCCCAGTTTTTTTGGACGACTTGTTTCTTGTAGTGTTTGACCAACTCACAACTTACGACGCCCGTTGCATTCGTGTTCCTTCCTTGATCAACATTGTATGTTTTAAAACTGAGGTATATCCCTTCTGTGTTGTAGTGCTTCTTGCTATTTTTAGTAAGTAAACTAGTTGGATTTAATAACTATATGGCTTTAGATAAAATAAAGCCTGTACACATGCAGCTAAATGAATGTCAACTAGTTGGATTCCTGAAATTGAATCTGAAGGATAAAATAAAGCCATAAAAAAGAGCCGAGTAATACACTTACATATATAACATATATAGGAAAATTTTCATTTTGGTACTCTGTGTTGTATTAAAATATGAGTTTGGTACTCTCTGCTTTTAATAATTTCATGCCGGTATCTTAATCTTTTAGAAAATCTTCTTTTGGTATCTTAGGGCAGTTTTTTGGGACACAAAAAGACAAAATTACTCTTATTATTAAAAATAAAAAAACTTTTTAAAAAATTTTAGACCTACAAAGAAACATCTAAAATTATTATGCCGCAAACATAAAGTAAAAATCTTGATTGTAGGTTTTTAAAAAGTCTTTTTGTAGATTTAATAATAAGAATAATTTTATCTTTTTGTGTCTCAAAAAACTGCCCTAAAGTACTAAAAGAAGATTTTTAGAATATCGAAGTATTGGCATAAAATTATTAAAAATTGAGGGTACCAAACTCACATTTTGATATAACACAGGGATCAAAATGAAATTTTCCCATATATATCCTGATAGGAACATTTCAAGCATATATATAGGCAGTAAGTCATAAATACATTTTGAAAAGGTACACAAATTGACATGTAAATATGTACATCGATATGTATATATCTCATATATATTCTTGCAATATAAAAGTGAGTCTTAGGGATCATATGAAGGCAGTCGTTCAGCAGAAATTCAAAATAAGATAGTTATAGACCGAACTTACCTGATGGTGTTTGTTGAATACCCAGCTATATCAGCAACTGAAGTCAAAGCCTCTTTCCAATTCTTTTGTTGCCTCATCCAAGCTTCTTCCAACTTACCTTCTTGGATTTCATCCTTCATCTTCTCCTTGAAACGTTTTTCAAGCTCAGAAAATTTGGTTTTATAAATACCTTCTTGATTCCGCACAGTGGTTACAGATACGCCGTGAAAAACAGGTAAAATGCGACGCTCAATGTCGTCTGAAGCGCATGATTGGATCATATGTACGAGTTCATTCAAGCACCAACTCGAAGAAGCATAATTTTCTGAGAAAATGACTACAAAAAACTTTGATTCCTGTATTGCTTTGTCGAGACTTTCTTTAATTTTATCTCCACGTACAATGTCGACATCATCTTTAAAGGTTTCTATTTTCTTTCGCTCATGTAAAGCAGAATAAAGATGACTTAGCAAATTATCCCGAACGTCTTTACCGCTAAAACTTAGAAAGACATCAAAAGATTTGGAGGTGGAAATGGCAGGAGCGGCACCCTGGCCGGCAGCCATATTCATCCCCCAGAAAATCTACTAATCAAGAGGATACACACACACACACATATATATATATAGATATACTCTTCACTACATATTATATATGCAGAATGAAAAAAATCAAGAGATGATATAGATTGATACAAAATTAGTGCAAGTACTATAGGGTGGAAACGAGTAAATAAACTCTTTAAGTTGGAATATTTAAACCGTAAATAAGGCTTTAAGTTGTAATATATAAACTCTTTCTCAAATGGCGCGAAGTTTCCATGTAAGCGATTCCGTTTATTTAACGCACCACAATTATTTATCAAAATGCAATACGATCCAGGATTCGTGCATGCATGGACTTATTCAAAACAATGTCGTCTTCTATAGAAGTCAATGTCGTCTTCTATGGAACCACAGTTATTTGTTAAAAAATTATGCACTAAATTCAATATTGTCACCTGCACTAAGTAAGAAGTCAATATTGTCACCTCACCGAACAATGTGCATCGATCTGTACATCTACGATTTTGGCTTTTTATGCATAAAAAATGTGTCTGATTTGGTATCTCAGGAAAATTAATTATCACTTAAATGTGATAGGAAATTGTTACAGAACTTTCAGTATACAGCGATAGCATAAATTACATACCCTATGACCTAGTTCAGTTTTCCAATTCAAATTTTTAATTCCAGTTTGCTACAGTAAAATGCTTTAATTCAAACTTTTTTATTAGAGTAAAAAGCTCTCACAAAAATCTAGTCTCGGCTTGAAATAAAAACTCAAATTGGAGAACTAAACGAGGCCTATGTCTTCGGCGCCGTTCATTTCACCGACTCGAGTTTTCAGTTTTAAGTTTCTACAATTAAAAGCTCTCAGAAAATGTCACATTTCAGCTAAAATTGAAAACTCGAATCCGCGAAGCGAACGAGGCCATAAATTAAAATTTTTATTACAATGTTTTTTTCACATAAATTCACTTTTCAACTTAAATTCTCACCTCAAATTCGTGAAACGACGGGGCCATAAATTACTTTCAAGGACCAAAGTATTCAATATCCAAAAATTTGGGGCTAAGAACTAAATTTGTGAAGCTTACTTTCACGGACTTAGGTATTCAATCCCAAACTTCGGGGCTTAAACTAAATTTTATGAAGCTCTGGAACTATTATAGTAGAATTAATTCTTCAGTGAAAGTGGATATAGTCAAATTAATTTCTTCAATAAAAATGGGTAAGCTCAAGGCTGGTTCTATTAATGGCACACATTTTTTCACTTGAACACCTCTCTTTTAAACACGACCATTTAATACTCATTCACACCTTTATTAATTTGAAAACTAACCCTAACAATAACTTTAAAATTATATTTTTTTCCAATACTTCAAATATTTTTTTTCTTTAATTTTATCTCCACGTACAATGTCGACATCATCTTTAAAGGTTTCTATTTTCTTTCGTTCATGTAAAGCAGAATAAAGATGACTAAGCAAATTATCCCGAACGTCTTTACCGCTAAAACTTAGAAGGACATCAAAAGATTTGGAGGTGGAAATGGCAGGAGCGGCACCCTGGCCGGCAGCCATATTCATCTCCCAGAAAAACTACTAATCATAACGATACACATACATACATACACACACACACACACTCACACACACACATATATATATAAATATATATATATATATGTATATATACTCTTCACTACATATTATATGTGCAGAATGAACAAAAAATCAAGAGATGACATAGATTGATACAAAATTAGTACAAGTACTATAGGGTGGAAACGCGCAAATAAGATAAACTCTTTAAGTTGGAATATATAAACCGTAAATAAGGCTTTAAGTTGGAATATATAAACTCTTTCTCAAATGGCGCGAAGTTTCCATGTGAGTGATTCCGTTTATTTAAGGCACCACAATTATTTATCAAAAAATGCAGTACGATCCAGGATTCGTTCATGCATGGACTTATTCAAAACAATGTCGTCTTCTATAGAAGTCAATGTCGTCTTCTATGGAACCACTGTTATTTGTTAATAAATTATGCAATAAATTCAAGATCCACTTCCTGCACCAAGTAAGAAGTCAATATTGTCACCTTACCGAACCATGTGCATCGATCTGTACATCTACGATTTTGGCTTTTTATGCATATAAAATGTGTATTTGGTATCTCAGGAATATTAATTATCGCTAAAATGTGATAGGAAATTGTCACAGAACTTTCAGTATACAGCGATAACATAAGTTACATACCCCAAGACCTAGTTTAGCTCTCCAATTCAAATTTTTAATTCCAATTTCTAAGGTAAAATGCTCCAATTCAAACTTTTTTTTGTTAGAGTAAAAAGCTCTCACAAAAAGTCTCATCTCGGCTAGAATTAAAAACTCGAATCGGAGAACTAAACGAGGCCTAAGTCTTTAGCTTAATTGATTTCACCGATTCGAGTTTTCAAATCTAGGTTTCTACAGTTAAAAGCTCTCAAAAAATGTCACATCTAACTTTTTCTACTACAGTTAAAAGCTCTAAGAAAATGTCACATCTCAGCTAAACTTGAAAACTCAAATCCGCGAAGTGAACGACGTCATAAATTAAAATTTTTATTACAGTGTTTTTTCTCAGATAAATTTTCATCTTAAATTCTCACCTCGAACTCATGAAACTAACGGGGCCATAAATTACTTTCATGGACCAAAGTATTCAATATCCAAAAATTTGGGGCTAAGAACTAAATTTTATGAAGCTTACTTTCAAGGACCAAAGTATTCAATCCCAAACTTCGGGCCTTAAACAAAATTTTATGAAGCTCTGGAACTATTATAGTAGAATTAATTCTTCAGTGAAAGTGGGTATAGTCAAATTAATTTCTTCAATAAAAATGGGTAAATTCAAGGCCGGTTCTATTAATGGCACGCGTTTTTTGACTTGAACACCTCTTTTTTAAACACGACCATTTAATACTCATTCACACCTTTATTAATTTGAAAACTAACCCTAACAATAACTTTAAAATTATAATTTTTTCCACCACTTCAAATATTTTTTTTACAACCAACATTGCATTTTTGTTTACTACACACACAAAAACAATGCAATTCTAATTGGCCTGAGGAGGCGTTCATGGTGGGTTTAGGCGGGTTTCTTTAAAATAAAAAAAAAATACAAAAATAAACTGTTAATCAAATTAAAAATAATTTTTTTTTAGCGGTTTGACATTTTTGACAAAAATCAAATCAAACCAAATCATTAATAAATAGTTTGGGAGGTTTGAGCTTAAGACTAAAAAGTTTCAGTAATTCAGAAAAATTATAAAACCGTTAATCCATAAAAATAAAAGTAAGCTCGAAGTGTACATTATAATTCAAAGAATCATAAATGTATAAAAGTTCACCATTCAAAGTTTAATACAAACCAAAAAAATGTGGGAGGGTATATTTTATAGTTGTAGAAACTCCATTATGACCAATTAAAATTAAAATAAACAATGTATTAAAAACAAATACTTATATATGTATATTTTTGAACGGGTTATTGAACGGTTTGTGGGATCCATTAAACCAAATGCTGCAGAGAAGGCATTTATTCATGCTTTACCAAACACCTCAACACTGCAATACTTCAGTGAGAAATGTTAGGGCTACTATTTTTGCTATTGTCTGTATTTATTGTTTAACACATGGATACTATTAACATGATATATTATTATTTAAATAAAAATGAGATAGTGGAGTTTACGTGTCAAATAATAAATGCAGTGAGTGATAAAAAGAGTGCAACTAGCATTTCTCTACCTTAGTAGTTATAATACCTGTAGAAATCGGTTTTTTTTTTTTTTAAGAAGAAAGCTTCAGAATTTAATCCCCCAAAATGCTGGATTTCTGATATAAATTTTTGTTAATAAAAATCAACATTTAATTAGTTCAAACACCTCTGACTGGACTTTCCATTGTTCTAGCTTGCTTGGATATATTTACTAGGTTCTAAGAGTATTTTCCGTTTTCGGGAATTGTGTGAAGTCCAAGATTTTCGGGCTTTCTGATGCAACAGATATTACGAGATTTCGTGTTCAATCTCTACAAAATAATTCACGAAGAAAAAAAAAAGCTCATCATCAAAGAACATATATATACCGGTATTACTAGTACTAGTGATCTCATTTAATTAACATCGTTGTGGGAAATCTCCAAGCAATTTTAATCAATGACGACGTTAACATATACACAATATGGTATTGTGAGTATTGTTGTAGAGGTCAGATTTTACAGTTAAATTTATTTAGAGAGTCAATAACCGTTTCTAAGTGACAATTGCTCGCAAAAATTCTGTAAATGTATGGTGTTAAGTTTTAATAGTAAAAATAGTGAGAAAGATTGTAGTCTCCATAGGGATTGTAATATAATTTTTACTAAGTATTGTACTTATTATAATTTTAACTTTATTTAGGAAATAAAATAAAAATTGTAAGGATTAAATAAAAATAAAAAAAACTAAGAATTTAAATCAAACTCAAGATTGCAATTCTCAGGAGAAAATAATTAATATATGTACATTCTAAATGTTCGATTTTACATAGCCGTCAACTATGCCTTTTGAATATCAATTTATTACTAATTAATTTTCATAGTTTATAAGCTAAGAACCTAAATTTATTTCAACTTTCTCTCCTGAGTGCCGAGTGAATAAAATTTATAAATTCCTATTCAAATAATCCTTTTTAAAAGTAAGAAAATAAGAATTTATTATGCTATGTGGTTGTTTTCAAAAAGTCTTCAAAGAGATTATAGGCCTCCTAAACTCTACAAAATCTTAGATTGTGTATTTTCAGGACAAATCTAAAATTCTCTCCCACAAGTGTTGGATTTTAAATACCTGATCATTCAATCAATGACCCGTCAATTGAAAGCATTAAGAATCAATAAACCATGAAAAGCCTCATATATAATATAAATTAAAACTTAAAACATTGTATCAAGCGTCGACAACATCTCTCCTCTAGATAAAATAAAATTAGTTCATCATGAAAATAAAGAAAAGAAAATCATGTTTCTAAAATAATGAAAGAGAGAA